TATTAGTACAAGATAATGAAAACAAGAATTCTCAAATACTTCTCACAGATTCTGAAGAAGTTAGGAAAGCTACAGATAACTATTACAAAGATCAGTTCAAAGTACGAAAACACTACTTTGATCATATAAAAGAAGAATGTGAGAAAGAATATAACCTAAAGAAAACATCAAAGAAGAATGGGAAGAAGATAAAGAAAATGAAGTACAATAAACAGAAGAGTATAAAGAAGATTTCAAAATACTGAAGAAAGAAGATACCAGAAGATGAGTAGAGTTAAAAGAAGTGCAAAACATTACAAACTTAATTAGAAAGAAAGAAAGTGATATATATATAATAGCAAACAAGAAGGAGCTACTTGGAAAAAATGGAAAAGAAAAAAGAATAGCAGTACATAGTGAAGTAAAGAAGCTCATAGGTCATGAAAGAGTAATAGTAGAAGACAATTGGAGTGCAGAATTAATAAAGCAGGTAATTAACGAAGAAAGTATTAGAGCAGAGCTGAGTGATAGTCTTAGAAAAAATATAGGGAGAAAAAAGATAGTAGTATATACTGATAGGTTATTGCAAAGGGAGGACATATAGCAAAAAATAGAATATAGTATAGTACAGATAGATGAGCAAAATGAAGTAGTGTATAGTCATAAAGGTAGAATTGGAAACTGGTTCTCACCAACTCAGGTGGAGTTAGCAGCATATTTAATAGCAGTATTAATAGCACCAAATGAATGCAGTGTAGAAATACATACAGATAGCACATGTGCAATATTAGCAATAACAGAAAGTTTGAAGAATAAAAGTACATGATACTAGCTTAAAACCAAAAACAATAGCCTTTTACAAGCAATAATCAAAGCTTGCAGAAGTAAGAGAATACAACTAGAGCTAACTAAAATAAAAGTGCATTCAGATGATTTATTTATTTTTTTTTTTTATTGTTTAAGGCAGCTTACATTGCCGACGGGATTTTATTAGTATTTGCATACAGAATTATATATTGATAATCCCTACTGTTTGTAATTACATGAAGAGTGTACAACAAGCTACACGTACAACTTTAGTCAT